GAGCGGACAAGGGCACAGTAGAGTAACTTGAATGTGATAATATTCTCAAATCCTCGCAGTGTTCGAAAGATAAACCCCAGCAAACGCATTGCTCTGTTGGTAATTACATCAATGTGATGAGTGAAAGTAAGTTCGGAGTCAAACCAAACACCAAGATCTTTTACTAGGGACTGTCTCTCAAGCTGTTCAGAATTAAGCAAATAATTGTGAGGATTTTTTGATCTACTAAAATGAAACAACTTTACATTTCTTAACATTCAATGAAAGATTATTATCAGTGCACCATACAGAAAAACGAACCAAGTCCTCCTGCAGCAACCAGCAATCATATATTGTTTGTACAACTCTGAATGGCTTTAAATCATCAGCGAAAGCAAGAAATCTACTATGCTGGAAAGAGTCTTTAACATCATTAATAAAGCAGTTGAATAAAAAAGTTGAGAGGTGTCCACCTTGGGGAACACCTGAGGTAACTCTTGTTTCAGATGAAATATAGTTTTTTATTTTAACCGCCTGCGTTCTACCTCTCAACATATTTTCAAACCAACCAAGCAGCTCTCCATGTATTCCAATAGCTTCCAGCTTTTTCAACAAGATGCCGTGATCAACCCTGTCAAAAGCCTTGGAGAAATCTGTGTAGATGACATCAACTTGACACTTATTCTCCAAGGCTTCCAACAGAGACTGCTCACAACATAGCAGATTGGAAATTGTCGATCTCGACTTCACAAAACCATGCTGCTCGCTGACAATTATGTGCCTAAAATGAGGTGTTATTTTATCTGCAATTATCGATTCAAAAATCTTAGATATCAGAGATATTTTTGAAATAGCACGATAATTTTTTATATCACAGCGATCCCCATCCTTAAAAACAGGCGTCACATAACATTTCTTCCAACACATGGGGAACATTCCACTACTTAAGGATAAGTTAAAAATTTTACAAAGAATTTCTGCCTAAACATATTTACAATTTTGTAATAGAATGACAGGTATACCATCTGGACCCGGTCCTAATGTTTGTTTCAAACTACTAATTTTATTAAAAACGTCAATAACAGACAGTTGTAAAGAACTAAGACTAACAGATTTATCATAGACAAACGACACATTTGTATCCCTGTATTCCGAGTATACTGAAGAGAAATGTCTGTTAAACATGTTAGAGATCATCTCTGGATTATTACTGGATTCATCATCAAGGTTCATAGACTGAGGGTATTCGGAATTACCCTTTTTAGAGTTCACAAATTTCCAAAAAGACTTTTTGTCTGTTAACTGAGCTTCTATAGATTTTATATAACTTTGATGACTAGAGGACGACATATCTCTACACTGTTGCCTTAAATATGAAAAAACAGCATAATCTTGAAGAGATTGTGAAGCTTTGAATATCTTGTGCGCTTTCTTTTTCTGCAAGATTAGATTCTTCAACTCATCATTCATCCATTTAGGAAATTTGGGTGTCAAAAATCTACACATGGGAACAAATGAGTTAACAGCATAATATAGTATGTCATAAAATTCCGAAACAACCCACTCCAAATCAGTACACTCAGAAACGAAGGACCAATCAACAGTAGACAGAAAACAATTTAAATCATGATAATTCGCACACTTAAAATTATGATAAAAATAATCACATGACATATTCATAGGTTGACCGTTACCCAAATTAAAACTGCATTCGAAGGCTGGGTGAGGAGCATCCAGCCTCAGCAATGGCTTATCACAGATAGAAACATTAATATTCATATGGTTAGAAAACAGTAAATCCAGAAAATTGCCATATTTATTTGGAATCTGAATATTTTGATACAATCCCAGGTATGCAACACAGTCCGAGATTGCTGAAGATTCCATGGAGAGATTTCCAGCTGGTAATGTTCCATTTTCATCATTCACCCAAGATATTTTTGGAAGGTTGAAATCACCCCAAAGAAAAATGCCTGTGAAGGCATCACCGTCCACCAAATACATAAGTGACCGACCAAAAGCCTCGTAGACATCCACACCTGATACACCAGGGATATAAGCATTCCCAACCAATAGTTTCTTTTTGTCGATGCAAATCGAAACAAAAACATGCTCAACACTGTCAACTGGAGTGATGAGCTGACGACACTGTCTCTGTCAAACACATTTAGTTCTTATGGAAAGTACCAATAATATAAATTTTTCGAATAAATGCGATACGTCATAGGTTTTGAGATATCAGAAGCTCTTAAAATCTGAAATAAAAAATAAGGGTCTGCATTCAGAAAAATAAAGTTGATGATGGTGGCCCAAAGACGAAACGTCAGATTTTCAATTTGATGATAGCATTTTGTAGGGGAGAAAAAGTGGCTATGATGAAGTGATATATTTTTTTAAATATCACTTCAGGAAAAAATAAAAACCATTTTGTAAAGTTTCGGTTTTCACTGGATATCTATGGAAGTATTCGGAATATCCTAAATATCAAAGCGGCATTTTGTTAAGCATCAAAATGCGCATAATTTAACCGATCCTGTATCTCTTACGGTTTCCGAGATCCCAATGATGAGGCTCGAATTTGGGCCGCACTGTACAGATTTTAAGAAAGATTTGGCAACATGAAGACAAACATTAGGTTCATTATACTAGAAAACAAGAAATCACTAATCATACCTATCCTTTATTTTTTTATATCCTACTGAACTATTAAAACCATATAATACCTTGGTTACGATAATCATAAACAGGGTCTTAACTCCCAAGGGAGTTAAGGATTTTCATAACTCCCAAGGGAGTTAAGGAAGGGAGTTAAGGATATCATAACTCCCAAGGGAGTTAAGGATTTCCATAACTCCCGCTTTTACCTTGAATAGGTAACACTTTGACAAAAAATAGAAATTTTGATTTATGGCTTATTCCTTTATAAAAATAGATAGAATACAGTAAATTCAGTAGGATATAAAATTATCTATGTACCACGGGAATTATCAGGAGTTAATACCCACGGGCAATTGGTGTCCCTCGGGCCGGAGGCCCTCGGGACACAAACGTTGCCCTGGGGTATTAACACCTGCATAATTCCCTTGATACATAAATAACTATTATAGCATAGTTACGACCAAATTATGGACCAACTGGTAAGTGTCTGGTTGTTACCTAGCAGGTACTTTCTATTCTCTAGTGCATAGAAAGTTCCTGCTAGGTAACAACCAGACGTTTACCAGTCACTCCATAATTTGGCCCTTAGGGATGCAAATAGGTTCTAAGTAGCGAGCTGTAATATAACAAGTTTTATTTTTAGTACATGCAGATATTTGATTGGATTGGACACCTCAATGGACTGGACAAATCCACATGAGCTAGACAAAGATATCGATTTACGTCGGACACCAGATAAAATTGATTGAAAGATGTACTAAGTATCCGCACCATAGTACAATAATCTAATTCCACAGCCGACGCAGTCATGTTCTGGAATGATTTACTAATGAAAAATTCGGCATCCTCGCATCTTTGGGAGTTTGACGTCACAATCCTAGCCCCCGTTTTCGCAGCAGTTCAAAAATTCGTTTTTCAAATTATTTTATTTTTCAAAATAAGCGTTTTTTTTTTTGGAATACAGTAGGTATGCAGATTTTATTAGAATGACTTAATACATTAATTTAAATTTATGTTTTTGAAAAATGTGAAAGTGACCTATTACTAAAGGTACAGGGTGATCTATTATAAATGTCACCCCCTGCTAACTTTTTTATTTGACCTTTTTGACAGAAATGTCAAATACAAAAGTTTAAGGAAATTGTCAAAAGTTTTTAACTAAGTTAGTTTAAGGCATAAAGGATGCGTCAAAAAAGTGCAGCAGTGTGAAGTAATATTTTTTTGAATGGAACACCCTGTATATCGAGCTGTATATTGTGAGCTTATTTGTTAGTCCCTTTTAAGCTGATTTAAACGATATATGGTTTGATATGTCTATCTTCAATAGTCATAGGGAAAAACATGAAAACCTCTTTCAAGGTTTCATATTGAAAAAAGAAAAATTATACCATTTAAGTTTTAGAGAATTTTTTTTATAAACAGTTTATTGTTCAAATTTCATTCATTAATATACAAGGTGAAATATTATAATAAATCCAGATGTCTAAGTTATTATTATTATTTTCAAAAAAATAACATGAGAGACCTAGGAAGGGATTTTCGAGTTTTTCCCTATAATTATTGAAGATAAACTGAGAGATTAACATATTAAACCGTATCTCGTTGAAATCAGGTTAAAGGGGACTAACGAATAAGCGCACGATATACAGGGTGTTCCATTTAAAAAAATATAACTTCACACTGCTGTAGTTTTTTGACGCACCCTGTATGATTAAAACTGACTTGGTTAAAAACTTTTGACGATTTCTTAAAACTTTTGTATTTGACACTTTTGTCAAAAACGTCAAATGAAAAAGTTAGCAGGGGGTGACATTTATAATAGATCACCCTGTAATTGCCCTGTACCCTGTTTGTTTTTTTTTTTTTTGAATTTGAAGCCTCTGTTTATATTCTCTCTATTAAAAAATTAATAAAGAAAGGAATATTTCCATTTTATATTTTCTAAGAAACTAGGTTAAATATGCGATTTTTGTGCAGACGTTTTATCGATAAAATAAAATAAACATAAAATTTATTGACCTCTACTAAAAAACCACAATTTATATTGAATAACCTACTTTTTGTAAATTAAATATTCAATATGTAGGTATTATTAGGTACCTATGTGTTTCTGTCTTTTGTTTGTGAGACAAATAAAGTGAAAATTTGACCAGTTTTTCAGTTAAATTGACACTAATAAATGAAAAATCTAATTGTTTTCCATGAAAACCAACAAACAAACTCTCAAATTGTTTTGTTTATTTTCGGCTGTGTGAGTCAGGTTTAAAAAATGCTCCAAACAATTTCTACCTGAGCAAAACGAAAATCGCTTCTTGCAAACGATTCAAACACCAAATTATGTACGGAATTAATATACGACTTACCTTATCAGCAATAGAGGTAATCCATGAAATAATTTAAGCGAGGAAAATTGATTATTATGGACACGGCACACACATACACAGACGAGCTGGGATGGGCCACACACCACATAAACAACTCTTGCTTTGACTGACTGAAATTTTTGTTGTTTATTTGACTTGACCAATGACTTGACTGATCCAAAACGACGGATGACAAGACACTGACCTAACCTCAAATATATTGACAGCTATTATTATTTGAAAAAAAAAATGTTTATATTTCAAAAAATTGAAAAAATTACTAATGAAAATCGAGAAGGCGGCATTAGGCTAATTAAATTTAATAATCTTGAGTTAATAATTGCTAAATAGAGACCAATAAAGACTCGAAAACAATGGAACTATTTTTCGGGTCGGATCCCTAGGCCGCTACGCGTAGGAAAATAGTTTTGACGCGTCAACCAGCGGCGGCGGGAGGCCGTTATTTGAATTAAAAAATAATTACATCATAGTTATTGATAGTTTATTGCGTCATGCCTTATCAATTTGAATTGAAAGTAGCGATTATTAACAAATTGGTTTGAATACATTCATTTTTTATGGTTTAATTTTGTTTCAAATAGGTTTAATATAACAAACGAATAAAGTTAGGTATATTAAGTTTTATGTCGTTTTTTACATATAATATTAGAATATTAGGTTTATGAATTTATAGTCGTTTTCGTCGTTACACAGATATTTTTATTTATTTTTTTTTTATATCGCGCGACCATCAAGTGACCATAGATTTTTAGCAGCATTTTTAGAGTAGCTGGCAACATTGTAAACCGAGCATTTGAAATGGAGTCAGATCAGTTTTTTATCCGGTGTTCTTGGAGTGAAGTGAGGTTACCCGATCAACACCGAGCATTCGGAGCAAAAAAAAAAGTCAATTTTCTTTCTTTGGATATATAAAATTAATATTTTATTTCAAACAATGGCAAGTAATTGATAAATATCAACAATAATCAAGTACGTGTGCCAATCTTAAACCCCCTAACACGCCAAATCACCAGTTGTGACGTAGACAGCATGTCGTTTCTCGCCTTGATGTACTACATTAATTAACATTCTAGAACAACTCCTTTTTAGATCTCGTTTGCATCTTCCTCTTTAGCTGAGTTCGGCTTTATACTCTATATAATCTTTGAGCGCACTCGAAACGATAAGATTCTGTCCGTTTTAGCTCTCAGAATGTTTTCTTTTGCGATGGACTTATGACCGCGTATGACGTCACGATATCCATGCTCATACCGTTCCGCTCTGTGGAGTGCGAAGATTGACCTTTTGTTTGGACGCCATATTGCGGTGCGCGAACAAAGTTGCCAAAAGAAGAAAACAAAAATTACTAGCGGGTTGTCATCATTAAAAACAAAAGTAACTAAATGATTGATCCTCGCTATCCTTTTTGTTTGTTCACTTTCTCTCTCTGATTGATGAAAGTAGTAAATAGGTAGATATTCTATTATTTCTATTCTGCCCAATACTCCAATACAAGCTAAAATTGATGGCTTAAGTGTGGGTTCCGTTGTCTAACCTGGTTAACCGGTCGGTACAATGTCGGTTGACAGCGGTTGACAACGATTGACAAGCGGTTGCTGAAAATTTCGGTTTAAAGCCTAGTACTCATAACTGCGAAATTCGCATTTTTTTGACATTGCGTTGACAATTTGACGTTTTATGCGTGTTTCAAACGTCAAATTGTCGAAGCAATGTCAAAAAAATGCGAATTTCGCAGTTATGAGTACTAGGCTTAATACGGAACGCTTTTCCAATCACAGAATCGCCGCCGGTTGCGTATAGACCGGTTTTTCAGGAACCAGACATTACGGAACGTGTAACCGTAACCAAGGTTGTCTACGGAACCCACCCTATTGTCAAAAACATTCGTAATGGGCGGCAAATTCAACTTTTAAATGTAATTTATTCAGTAACTTTTGTTTTTAATGTTGACAGTACGCTAGTAATTTAAAAAAAGAGAAAAAAAATCTAAGAATAACACTGAAATCCGCACCCCTCTATGACAAATAGTGGCGCAGATATGGCTCTATGAAGGTACCGCCTCTCACCCATGACGTCATGAAAGCTCAAGCAACGCACGAGAAAGTGGAGTTAATTAAATTTACATATGTTTTTCTTGTGTCACCTGCTGGAATCTAAACAAAAACCACTCACGCGTGCCGGGAACAATCAAGTTAACAATGCGGAGCGCGGCTGGACGAAGTTCTCGTGACGTCACGAGAGCGTCGTCCACACTTTAAAGCGGTATATCTCAGCGATGGTTTATCGTAGAATAACGCGGTTTGAACAGTTAATAGAGAGTTCTCGTGCTTCAGACGCTACGCTAATACGGTACCGTTAACAATACGGTATTTAACATGGTATTTTATAGTTCTCGGACACATAAATCTTCTAATCCCTTATTCTGTTTACATTTTGACGGCTGAGTTGAGTGATCTAACCTAACTTTTTTTTGTTTGTTTTCTAACTTATAGGGCAATCCAAACAAAATGGCGGTCAATGCATGGTCAATGCCAAACAATTGGCGCCATAAATTTATTACAGACAATCGTGACATTTTTTATCAAAAAACTGTTTTTTGTGTATTTTGTGTTATTTTTAGATAATTTTCTAGTGTTTGGGAGGATAATTTACGTATTTTAAGATGGAAAGTTTTTAGTTTAAGAAATTATTATTGGAAAACCCGGATAAAAAGGCATTGGCCTCCATTTTGAATTCCATTTTGACAGGTCGTTGGATTGCCTTATTTATCCTGAAGATTTTGAGTTTGATTAATTTTCCCTTGGTGTTTTTTATACAGGAATTATTAGAAGTTGCTGTTCTTGTTCTTGCAGACGTAAATGGAGCGTAAAATAATCTTGACATAGCATAGCGTTACGGTAAGGCATACGCTAAGTCCCGTTAGATAGCGGGCTCCGCTAACGCTAATACCGTAAAAACTGTCATTCTTGTCAAACAGCGTTACGGAATTTGAAATTTGGACAGCACGAGAACTCTCTATTATTCTTAGATTTTTTTACACTAAAGGGCCCCATACACTACGATGAAAAACGACGGTTTTCACCGCCACGATGAAACACGTCGTTCTAAAACCGAAGTGTGTAATAGAAAAACACGACGGTTTTCTACAGGGCCCCATACACTACGAAGAAACGCGACGGTTTTCACCGCCACGATGAAACACGTCGTTCCAAAACCGAAGTGTGTGGTAGAAAACCGTTCGTGTGTACGAAATGTTGAACCGTCGTGCCAAAAATCAAGCTCGGACTGAATTTTAAACCGACGATGAAACACGACAGTTTTCTACCACACACTTCGGTTTTGGAACGACGTGTTTCATCGTGGCGATGAAAACCGTCGTGTTTTATCGTAGTGTGTGGGGCCCTGTAGAAAACCGTCGTGTTTTTCTATTACACACTTCGGTTTTAGAACGACGTGTTTCATCGTGGCGGTGAAAACCGTCGTGTTTCATCGTAGTGTATGGGGCCCTTAAAACTTTAATTTTTGGCGCACACCCCCTTTAACATGTCAAATTACACAAAGTGTTAACATGCGTCAAATTATCAATAATAATACAAATATACTCCCGAGAACCACTAAATGGTATTGGGGATTCAAAAATTTAAAACTTAAAATCTAAAACATACAGCTGCACTACAATGGTTACCCACTTTACAATTTTTTCTCACAAGATGTACACAAGTTCAAAACAGATCAATAAATAAGAAAACAACTAGGTAAAAACAAATATAAAAATAAATAAAATTAGTTAGGTATTGACTAGGGGTATAAAATATTCTATTAAAGGTAGGTGTAGGTACGTTAACAAAAACAAAATATAAATATGTAAAATGAACAAAAACATAGTAAAAATACAAATATGTAAATATAAAAATTAAGTAAAAGAACAAAAAATAAAAAATATCACATTATTGGCCACCTGGTAATTTCCTTGCACAATTCTTTTATTCCTTTTCCTCCTCCCAAATATCCGCCAGAAAATCATCTACTGAATAGTATGCCTTACCCAGGAGATATCTTTTTATTGTTAATTTAAACAGTCCCGGAGCGAGTATCTTAATTGTATCAGGCAGTTTATCATAAAATTGTTGGATTTGCAATCAAAAGACATGTTCTATAGAGTCTAGAGTACTCCAAGTTAAGTTCGGTCCTGTCCTTGTCTAAGGTGTTAATAATATAATGTGTGGTTATGTTGTAAGGTTAGCCAATGTTTTGTTTTTTCTGTTGTTTAAGTAAGTCCACGTTTTGGCTGTAAAGTGGCTGTAATTATTTAACCAATTTAATGTCAAGCTGAGTTTAGTTTTCTCATATTAATCAATAAAACGTTGTTCAAAGTGTAGTAGTGTTTTTATTGATATTCACAAACTTATATTTGGTGCTTCCACTTTCAAAGAATCCATCAGGTTATGGGCTGCAGAAACCAAATTGTGCTAAGTTTGGAATTAAGTAACTAAACTTTTGTTTTGTGTGGAAGATGGCCTCAAGCTCAGGAAATAATTACGCCGTTGAAAAGTTTGGAATACATCAGTTTGATGGTAAAGACTATGACCATTGGAAATTCCGAATAGAAACTGTGCTTGATCACAATGGGGTTAAAATGTGTGTGGAACGGGCCATAGATCAAAACTCACAAGATGAAGTGAAGCTAGACAAGAGATGTAAAAACATTATTGTACAGTGCGTCGCCAATTCGCACTTGGAGTACATAAAAGATAAGCCAACGTCTCGTGATATGTGGCTGGCACTTGAGAAAGTGTTTCACCGGAAGGGCATTGCAAGCCAGCTCTACTTAAGAAGAAAATTGCTAACAATGAAGTTAGAAAAAGGTGAGACACTGGAAAACCATTTTATAAAATTTGAGGAAACTGTGAGGGAGTTAAAATCAGTAGGAGCAACACTTGAAGAAACAGATATAGTGTGCCATTTGCTTTTATCGTTACCCCCCAGCTATGATAATATTGTCACTGCCCTAGAAACTTTGGAACAAGATAAACTAACATTGGAATTTGTCAAAGGCAAACTTTTAGATCAAGAAATGAAAAAGAAAAGTATAAAT